CTATGTTAATATATGTACATACATATATTTCTATATATTTACTGGAAACAGTAAATTTTGCATTACGTACAAAGGAAAAAAATATACATTCACATACATATACAACGGATTATTTTAGGGGTATGCTGAATTTGATAATATATTTCTTGCAGGGAGTGGCTTTGAGACTGAATCACAGAGAAAAGAATCAGACAAAGTTGCCCAGGGTTTCATGAGATTCACAAAACACACCCCCCCCCCCCAAAAAAAACAAACAAAAAAAACTATCCATTCTTAATCTTGTGGTTTGTTTCAGATTTGATCCAGGATCTGTATGATGTGCGACGGCATATGAAGAGTCAACACTTTCTGTAAGTCAGATAAAGAAAGCCAGAGCTTACGTGCTTCTGCAGCATGTTGAGATGGAGTTCATCCTGATCAGACAGCGGACTACAGCCCACCTGCAACACACACAGGGCTTCAGTGCATGGGCTTCTTCACTTCCACCAGCTTTGGAGACATGTTTATTCTTTTTTTTTTTTTTTTATAGAACCTAGTTGCATGACATCACATCCCTTTTTGAAGATTATATAAGTCATATTAAAGCATGATCTCACCAGTAGAACAGCGATGGCCTTGTCCTGTTCCTGGGCCAAGATGGGAATTACAACAGCTATGAGGAAAAATCAGTGAGAAGAGAAAGTGAGAACATGTTGATTACAACCCAATCGTCCTTATTTGATCAATTTGAAGATTTCCCTCCTTGTCCTTTTCTTGTCCCTTCTCCTTTTTTTAATACTATTAAAATTGTGGCATTAACAATAAATATTGCTGTGTCCATTGCTGTGCATGACACAGTGTATTGATTTTTGCCTCCCTTGCATTTATTCATTGCCCAAAGTGAGAACATGTTGATTACAACCCAATCGTCCTTATTTGATCAATTTGAAGATTTCCCTCCCTTGTCCTTTTCTTGCCCCTTCTCTTTTTTTAATACGATCTTTGCGCGGCAGATAGAAACAGTGACAGTTCGATAAGTATGTAAAGATGATGTGTTTGTTTGTTTGTTTGTTTGGACGGCACAAGAAACGAGCACAACAACTCTATGCACCTGACGTATTGGCACATCTGTTTGTTGCTGCACTCATGCTGACAGTTGAGTGTGGTATTTATTGATCCTCACAGTGCCCAGTCCTCCTGAAGGTAAGGGTTATTCTTTTGTTATTGCAGCCATTTTCTGATTTAAGTTTTAGAAATATTATTTTTGAGGGAAAAATGTGGATTGAGTTCTGGTCTGTAGACACTGCCTTACAGACCAGATCACGTTTTTGACTCGTGGGCCACAATGGGTCCGGGTCAGGAGCAGATAGACTGAGCACTCGTATGGACGACCGATGGCATGTAAACGTCAGAAAGGCTAAAACGCTAAACTGCTTTAAGGCTTTTTCTACACCATTTATGGAGAAATGCGGGCATTGCAGGGAAAAAGGTATAATGATAATAGAAATTACCATAATTTGGACACATTTGATGGGCCGGATTAAAAAGCCAAACGGGCTGCATCCGGCCTTTGGGCCGCACTTATATTAGATATATGTTGGCAAAATGATGCTAGTAATGGAGCTATCAGAAGGGAGGAAAAATGCTAGCATAAAATGGAAAACGGGGGTGGGCGTAATTTGTTATGAACCAAAGAGGGGTCCGGCAGAAAAAGTTTGGGAACCACTAGGTTAGTGGAACAGAGCGACTATCGGACTGTGACCACCCCTGAAGGGGGCAGCCAAAAGAATTTTTTTTTAACCCACTTCTCTTTACGCAGCAACAAACAGATGTGCCAATACGTCAGGTGCATAGAGTTGTTGTGCTCGTTTCTTGTGCCGTCCAAACAAACAAACAAACAAACACATCATCTTTACATACTTATCGAACTGTCACTGTTTCTATCTGCCGCGCAAAGATCGTATTAAAAAAAGAGAAGGGGCAAGAAAAGGACAAGGGAGGGAAATCTTCAAATTGATCAAATAAGGACGATTGGGTTGTAATCAACATGTTCTCACTTTCTCTTCTCACTGATTTTTTCTCATAGCTGTTGTAATTCCCATCTTGGCCCAGGGACATGGAAAAAGAATCCCCCACATTACCAAAAACAGACAGGTTGTGTTCATTGATACTTCGGCGACAAAAAACCAACGTGATGAATGAATTGCAACGTTATCCACAGTTATGGACAGTGGGGGGGGGGGAAGCATTTATTTAATTCAAAGTAAAAACAAATCTTTCTGTATAAACTATAAACATAAAGTGTGGCCAATATATGTACAATTATTTTTTTCTTTTTAAATTGAGTGGGTGGGGCTTATATTCAGGTGCGCTCAATAGTCCAGGAAAATATGGTAAATGGTTATTTTCTTTTAATTTCATGGTATTTTATTTTGTGTTACGCCTTTTGTCTTCAGTCCACAAGGTTCCGGGATAGATACCACGTTAGCCTCTAAATTCAAGGGTGGGTTCTATGTGGAAGGACTGTGGTAACCCCTGGCACAGACATTTATTGACTGAATAAAATTAAAAAAAAAAAAAAAAATTTAAATAATGCAACAAATGTTATTGGCAGTAGAACTTGGAATTGCAGCATTTTTGCACACGCTGTACCTTCCTATTATTTTACGGACAACAATTGATTCAGTAAGTGATTGTCACCCAGAAAAATGCCGTGTCTCTTTTGTACCAAACAAATAGTTTAGAGGACGAACAATCCTCTGAACTATAAACTATGTGGTTTTTTTTCCTGTCAAGGTCCAGTTGAACGTTGTATTATCCCTTTTAAAGAATGTTCTGGAATGAGGTTTGACCAAAATGACCTTCAGCTGCTTACAGAGTTTTGTTAAGTTTATGCTACTGTGTGCTTATCCAGGTCTTGTTAATGGACTGGAATGGACTTTTAACACCCCCACTACTGCAAATCAGAACACAGGGCTAACGTGCGTCTGTTTGTGAAAATCCTGAAGGTCTGCTTTTTTTTTTTGTGTCGCCCAACAACGTTTGTCTGGGAACGACTTCGACGTCGGGGCTGAAAAAGAAAAGAGTTCTCGTCTAACAAACCGACAGTTTCATCAATAATGGAGTGTTGGTCTTTTGCTGCCAGTGGCATCAGCTGCCGCAGAACACGGGGCTGTAGAGGTTCAGAGAGCACTTAAGAGAGATAGAAGAGGATCGTCATGTCTCGGTGAGGGACCTCGGGCACCGTCACCTTGGCTATTAGCCCCGCAATGCTTTCAGGGGGAGTGGAATTGGAGGTAAAAGAGAGAGAGAGAGAGAGAGAGAGAGAGAGGCTTGAGGGAGGTATAGGGAGAGTAGAAACAATAAAACACGACTGGCTTAGTGCTCCATTGGGGGGGGGGGGGGGGGGGGGTGGAAACAGGTTGAGGTGAACAAAAAGGGCAAAAAGAGACAGAAGGTGAGGCGACAAAGTGGGATAGCGGATGACAACAGAGGGGAAACAGCTTGTCGGAGGGAGGGGTGTAATGAGATGGAAAAATGTCACATAAAGGGAAAAGAAATTGAGACGAAAAGCTGAGACTAAAGTGAGAGGTGGTGGGAGTCGGGGGGGTGGTGGGGGTTGCACTGTTTCTCCATGATGACGTCTCACTGTGACCTTCCTGCCATCGGCGTTAATGATGTGACTTTTGGCTAAATGGCCCTATGTTCGTTCAGGTGACGCCAGCTCTCGGTTCAATTCCTGTCTCGTCGTTGCTGCCTCGGCATGTAACGTGAGGAATGGTGGGGCGATGCAGAGAACGGTACGCACCTGATCTTTCCCTCCTGTGGCAGTTCGTGCGGTGGGTCGTCGGACCGCAGTCTGAGGTCTCCCTCCAGCATGTAGACACATACGCACTCCTGTAATGTAACAACACACACACTGTTTGTGTCATTTGCAGAGGTGGGTAGTAACGAATGGCGCTTACTCCGTTACGTTTGGTTCGAGTAGGTTTTTCAAAATGAAATACTTCTAGGAGTAGTTTTATATCACTGTGAAATACTTCTAGGAGTAGTTTTATATGACTATACTTTATGAGTTGTGAAGAAAAAACAGTGCTCAGTTAGCTCATCCGCTACATTAGCTCAGCCTAATGTAGCGGATGAGCTAACTGAGCTCGTTACAGAGATACTGGATGAAAGCTTTAGCTATATTCTCTATTCTCTTTAGATCCATTATTTCGTCAGAGAGTGACTTCCGCCCAAGGCTCTACCGCGCGACTGTAACCAATAAAATGTAGCCCTTGCTGCGCAGTCTCGTCACGTGACCATACTCGATCTCGGCGGCAGGACGGATTAGTTAAATTAGGTCAATATCCACCACAGCAAAAAAAACGGCAGAATCAACAGTTAGCAATGACCAAGATAAGTTTGACCTACAAATCTTTTTTTTCTTCTTCTTTTTGCTGTGGACAGGCGAATGTTTGTCCTGTTAGGTTACATGAGTACTCGAGTACTCGAGTACTCGAGTGCTGAGCTCGATCTGCTTGTAGCACCAAAGACGTGTTTCTATCCACAGAGGGTCTAGAGGTTTGGAAGTTTTTGTGACTTGTTGCTGAAATTTAAGTTATTTTGTAAATATTTAATTCTTTATGTACTCTTTTTATTTCGTGGATTTTAATTTTTTTATTGGAGTACTTAAACTGATCTAAAGATTATTTTATTTTAAGGTATTTATTTAATTTGTTTTGTTTTATTATTTCGTTGACGGGATATAAAATACGCTAAAAAAAAAAACGCTAAAAAATAAATCAAAAAAATAAATGTTACTCAACGGTTACTCAGTGACTTGAGTAGTTTTTTCACCATGTACTTTTTTTTACTCTTGCTCAAGTAATTATTTGGATGACTACTTTTTACTTCCACTTGAGTAATATTATTCTGAAGTAACAGTACTTTTACTTAAGTACAATTTTTGGCTACTCATTTGTAATACCAATCAGATCAGCAAGCAAAATGTCTTCCTGTTAAGTCAAAGGAAGCAGTTTATTTACGTGTGTTTGCATACCGTGCTGGACAGCATCTCCTGTATGCTGTCTCGAAGGGCTGCTCGCAGCGAGCGCGCGTCAACAACCGCCGCCAGCCGCAGCAAAGCATCCTGGGAAAGAGCACAAACAGATGCCCTGATGTCAGTTTTGTTGTTGGTTTATATTCTTTTTTTTCATTTTTCTTTACAAACAGCTTCCCTGCATAATATTTTACTGGATACAAAAAGTAAAAGTCTTCCTCGCGTATTTGGCCTTGGCAGGCTGCAGAGGCCTAGGAAACAATATTTAAATTGTGCTACCACAGTAAACACGGCAAGCTGTGCCCGTTGGAGAAACAAGTGAGGCGGTGAGAAAATAAACTGCAGCCAGACTTGGGGGGATTAGTGGAGTTTATTGTGCTCTTCAGGACTCTTGATTCGTATTGCTTGTTCCTTGGCAGAGTGGTGAAAACATCCACTCGACAAATCATTTACACTGTTTTGTAGACAAAAGGAAAACAAATTACACTCATTCTACTGAAATTAAAACGGAAAACAGGGGTGTTTTGAACCAGGGTAAACCTGCTAGAGAAATAGAATAAAAAAAAAAAAAAAGATCTATACCAGTTAGAAAAGCCAAGGATTTACTACAATCTCTCAAGTTGGAGTGAAGTTGAAGTTCTTATTCACTAATATGATAACTATATGATGAACTAATTTTGCCTGTTTTATCTTTTGCCAAAATAATAAAAAAAAAAAAAATTAAGAAATGCTTAAACCCAGCTCTTCGATTTTAAATAGCATGTACTGGGTGGACGCAGAGTAAATTTGACAATTCATAAAATATTGAGGTAATTTTTTATCCATACACAAACTCTAAAAAACAAAACAAAAAACAATTTAAGTTCCCACTAAGGCTTGTGGTAACAGGAATAAAAAAGAAATATATTCAGTATGAAGTTAATATTAGCAGGTTCATAAAATAATGAGGTAATTTGTTATGCTAATAATGTGCTATATAATAACAAAATACAAATAAATAATAAAAAATATATAATCATTTTGACGTCAGTTAGCATGTGTTGAGGGCGTAGCAGGATTAGCTTGAGTTTCTTAAAACAGTAGGAATGTGTAGAAATCAAATTCACAAAACACATCTTAACCTGTTGGACATTTTTGCAAGTTCATAAAATGATGAGGTGATTTTTTTACGCAAACAAAAACTCTAAAAAAAAAGAAATGAAAATATATAACAAAAAAAATAATCATTTTGATGTCAGTTAGCATGTGTTGACGGTGTTAGCAGGATTAGCTTGAGTGAAAAAAATGCTAATCAAGGCACCAGTTTTAAGACGTGAGGACTGTGTTACACCGGCAAAATTGATTGTATTTCGATTGTATTTTGAGGTCGTACACAAAGACAAACTCAGAGCTCATCTCCCGTTATCGGATGAATGTTGGCAGCATCCCATGTGGGAATATTTACACACTGTGTTCACATCATTTAAATCAAAGCGATCACACACACGATTACACAGAGCAGCCGTTTCTAAAAACATCCCTTTCAGACTCCAAATCAACAAAGAAGAATGTAAGGGTGAGCTGAAATAAAAAATTTAAAAAATAACATCGAAACAAAAAGAAAAAAGTCCATGACTGCTGGATTATAGTCTTTCACAAAGGCTGCTGGTTTAACAGAGGAGACAGAAGGAAGATCATTTTGTGTGTCTTTCTGAACTGTTCAATACCCTAAAGCTCCACATGCTGAGCATGCTGGGAGTGGATCAGTTGGGTTCAATGTTCCACTGAGAGTTTACCATCTGTTTCCCAAGTTTAATTCATTCTTTTTTCTTTTCTTTCTTTTTGATTTTGTCACTTTCCTTTTTCCGTCGAAAGACCGAGAGGTAGAAGGCGGAAGGAGAAGGAGAGAATCGAGGAGGGAAGAAGAGGCAAAGAAGAGAACAAGTCAAGGGCCGTCGTGCCCGAGTGCTCAGTGTTGGGTACTACACGTAATTAGATTTGATTAAACGTGATTAACTTTGATCAGTCTGTCAGAGCGCTGATGTAGCGAAGCCGGAGCTGCGACAGCACGTGCGGTTTTTTTTTTTTTTTTTTTTCTTTGACTTAGAATGTTGCTGTGCGATCGGCTCAAGGCGTCAATCTTAGAAATGCTATGAAATCCCCACAAGTAATGTTTGATCAAACAATCAGATGAACCATTGGTTTTTTTTGGCACCACTTGTCCATCAACGACGTATCCAGGAAGCCGACCGTGCATGTGCACGACTGGCAATAAGATGAATGCCTTCATAAATGTCAGACTCTGTTGTATATGACCTTTCACCATAATTCCCGGCCATAAACCTCAAGCCGGGCAGCTGTTATATTAATTTACCAAACCCTCACCCACCCAAACACACACACAAACAAACAAACATACGCATAAACACACACACACACAATTACATTCTTTATTTACATTTATTGAAAGTCTAAACAAAGTGTCTCCAACATAAAGGAAAGGCAGTTCGTAAAATAATGATGTCATTTTTTTTATGCTAACAAAAATTCTAAAAAATCACTTTATAATTGATATAATCACTTGGACGTCAGTTGTGTTGAGGGTGTTAGCAGGATTATCTTTAGCACAATTAGCTCTCAGAAGTTTTTAAAAAGAAAACAAATTACATATCTCCAAATAAATATATTATGAAACAAAGGTTTTTTTTTTTTGGTTTTTTTTGTTTTTTTCCTCTGCAGGAAACTACAACAATTACCAGAATACTACACTAACGTAAATTTTTCCTTGACCAACGACCAACACAATTGTGGTTTTTGTGTTGAATACCTCTTCTAAAAATACATTTATATATGTATGTATATATTTATATATATATTACATTGTTTATATCCTATGCACTTTTTTCTCAGAATTTTTTTTGTTTTTGCAGAAAATATAAAATACATGATACATTGATTTTACAACAGCACGGAGAGAAATGCGATAAAGTCTTTCATCTATTTATTTAATTTGTCTTTAAACTAGAGCAGGACAGTACGTAAAATGTTCAACGACAACAGTGACTCGAGGATGTCATTAAACTAACTTTTGCCACACGGATTCAGGAAAAGCTTTTATCTGAATTGATTTGAGGAGTAAAACACAAAATATCCAAAACAAACAAACAAACAAACAAACAAAAAAAAAAACCCCAAACCATAATATATAACTATATGCGATCCTAAATGTTCATAACAATGCTGAAATAAAATCATAATGACAGGACAATATAAAGATACATTTAAAAAATTTAAGCTATTTTTAATGACATTTGTGTCTATTCTTTATACGCGATTAAAACAAGGGATATAAAATAAGATTTTCTAATACGATACTGATGCTGGGAAATTTAATTTCACATCTTTATATTTAGTCACTTAAGAGAGTAAAAGCATAAATAATTACAGGGGATTTAGCGGCAATGTACCGTTTACGTCTGTCGTGTAATCGGTTTTCTCTTTAGGAGAACACTCTGACTGTAAAGCTTGTGTGTGACGGTAAAAAGCATTAAGAGCCCAGCAATCAGGCGCCGGAAATAACGATATGCAAATGAAGTTGCAATATAGCAGAACCAGCTTTGGTCCAAGTAAACGCAGAAGTCACACGACGTAAGAAAAAGATCAAATTTCGACCTTCCTTTCCACCTATTCCCAGAACAACAAGAGTCATAAATCAGGGTTAATAGAGAGGAACTCTGACACAGACTATAAGTCCAGGCGGACGACTCAGTCGAGAAGTTTAATTAAGTCTACATGGAACTGAAAGTTGTCTGTCTTTGGGTTTTGTCACAAAAATTGCATTGTTTTTTTAAAATTTATTTAGTGCATAATATATCTCTGACTACACTCTTTTTTTTTTGGGAAGGTAGGGAATTGTCTGTATATATTAGCAGTAGCACAAGCAGCAGGGAGCAAGCGTAAGCCCCTGAGGAGCACAACGGTAAGGCATACAATATGCATGATGTTAAAAGGAGGAAGATGGTGTCGAGAATGTTTCCGATTAACACTAAGGGATTAAAACAAGGTGGTGGAGATGTGTGAAAATGTAAGTGTGAAACGAATTCACTTTCACTTTCACTTTTAAAGATCCACCTGGCTCAGGGACATGGACATTGGCGCGGCTAGGTCTGTCCTGTAGTGATGTTCGATACCACCAATTTGCTTTCCGATCCGATACCGAGTAAAATTCGGGCTGGTATCGCCGATACCGATATCGATACCGATATTTTATCATTTGTCTTTTAAATAAAAAAATATATAAAAAAGTGTATTTCAAATCATATCTTCTTTAAGAATCCAAGGCAGAGTATTTTTTATTTATTTATTTATTTTAAACTCTGGAGTGTACTGAGGTAAGCGGCCTCATTTACTATACAGTCAACACAACAATAGAAAAACCTGAGAACACAATCATATAAAATATGTCAAAACAATGTTTCAAACTCTGAAAACATGTTATTTGTAAAACAAAATAAATAAATAAATAATCTGAGGAGCCATTTGGGACCCGAAAGAGTCGGATCCTTTCAGTGAACCGAGCCAAAAGAACCGGTTCTCTAAAAAA